AGAAATGGGTGTTAATATAGATTTGAAGGTACCAAATTCTGAATATACGCCATTACATAACGCAGTTAGTAATGATAGATTGGATATTGTAAATGTATTACTAGAAGCAGGAGCAGATATCAATTTAAGGAATAAAGCTAAACTTACACCACTGGAAATTTCAGTAGAAAGAAATTATTTTAATATAGGTATGTTGTTAATTAAACACCAATTTCTAAAAGAAAGAAGCATCACAAAACCTTTCTATATCAAAGCCGAACCTGAATTTTCTCATTTCTGGGATGAATGCAAGAAAGAAGTTGAAACTCTAGAGAACAACTTACTAGGTACTAGCTCTATTTCCTACTATAAATTTGCCAAAGAGGCTAACCTAGACAAGATTCATGGCTATATAAGTTGCAAACGAACAAAGCTAAGGAAAGAATTAATCCGTCAGGAGTATATGAATGAATTTCCAATTTATAAAGATGATATTAAAAATCAATTTAGGAAAGGTAAATATAGAGCGCTTTTAAAAGGTAAATGTAAAAAAATTATTAAGAATTCGATATTGAATACAATTTCATATAATTCTAAACAAGCTTTTCTTGAGGCCTTGAATAATAATAACTTAAAGAAAATCGTTAAATTTATGAAAAATAAAACCTGAAAAAGAAAAAAAAAGTATATATATAGATAACACATTTAAAAAAATAAAAATAAAATATAAAAAAATATATATATACCCATTTAACTTTATTTGTGTATAAAATATTCACCTCAATATGTGAATAAAATTTAACTTTATGTAAATATTTTACTCACTATTTATTCATTATTTTACTCACTATATTTCGTTAATTTTTATTTTAATGATACGAGTATAGTTTTTATCCATTTATTTTATTGTGAAAGATAATCAATTTGCGGTCAGGAGATTGCTCTTTTGTGTTTTTAATATATATATATAATATATTTGTTTTGAAAATAGAGCAATCCATATTTAAATCATTAGATAATAAAAAGGCATATATTGGATTTAATAAAAGATTTATTTTGCCAATATTTCGGCTGGCTGAACGCCAACCTTTATCGAGGCATTTTATCGAGGTATATACAAAGATGTAATGCCTCGATAAAGGTTGGCGTTCAGCCATCCGAAATATTGGCAAAATAAATCTTTTATTAAATCCAATATATGCCTTTTTATTATCTAATAATAATATATATATAAAAATAAGTAGTAATATATGTTATTATACACTATATTTCCATATGTTACCTAATAAAGTATATAACGGCCCAAAAATGTAGACAGAATTCAACACCCCAGCTTGATCATCATGTAATACAAATAAGATAATAAAGTCAAGGTAATAAGACCAAATCCAAATAAATAAATAGTGTGTAATTTATTTGAATTTGATCTTATTACCTTATGTTTATAATCTATAATCCAAATTGTGTTTTATCAAGATAATGAAGTTTTATTGTGACAGCCGCATCCAAGACAGGACGAGGGTCCGAGGAGTAGAATTTCGTCAAATATTATTCATCTCCTCCCAGGAAACTTCCAATGAGTTTTACGACCGTCACTGGACACCCACAAACAGGTGACAACAAGCAGCTCAACTTTCCCTCTCATGTAGATTACACCTTCCAGGACCTTGTCCACGTCTTCGGCCTCTCTCTTCTATGTTACATTCATTCTTCCTTTGGTGTTACCAATTGACGCCTGAACACTGTGGCCCATGACTGCATAGTGCTTGTGGTATCAAATCTATCAACCGAAAGGATAACCTGCATACCCCACAACATACATACAGTTAAACCTGTCTATAGCGCCCCCTCTTGGAACTCACCAAAATAGGTTGCTATAGACAGGTCACTTTTAATGTAAAATGTTTACATTTTAATGTTTAAAATCGGGCGCTATTTAGAGAGGGCGTTATAGACAGGTTTAACTGTATATATATATTTTTTTTTTTTGAAAATAGAGCAATCCATAAATAAATGTTTAATTAAAAAGGCATATATTGGATCAAAATATCATTTAAATGATATTTAATCGATTTAAATTATTTTTTGATCCAATATATGCCTTTTTAATCTATATATATAAAAATGAATGTATGTGTGTCTGTTTGTTTGTTTGTTTGTTTGTTTGTCCTTTATGCCTGACCAAACCACTCATTGGATCGCCATGAAACTTTGGGAAGTTATCTATATATATAAAAATGAATGTATGTGTGTCTGTTTGTTTGTTTGTTTGTTTGTCCTTTATGCCTGACCAAACCACTCATTGGATCGCCATGAAACTTTGGGAAGTTATTTAGTATAGTACTGGGAAGGTTTCTAGCAAATAAAATTTTTGAAATAACTTTTCGCATAGAAATAATCAAGATAAATATTCTAATTTATCTGTTATAATTCAACAATCTGCTTTAAATATTATCATGATGATACGATGATTTTGTAATGTAGAAAATTAGGAAAGACAAAATTCAGGATGACACGGCAATTTATTTGAGACAAGAATAATGATACAATTCCAAGGCAAGATACTATTCCTTTAACTTCCAATTACCGAGGGAACCAATTAATATATTGATTTTATTCAACTTATCGAGTATTTTTCAAGGGACCGGGAAAAAATGTTCACTTTATCGAGAGATTCGTTAGACAAACTTTTACTCGGGTAAAACCCGGGCGAAGCCGGGTACATCCATACAAGAATAATTATACAATTCCAAGGCAAGATACTATTCCTTTAACTTCCAATTACCGAGGGAACCAATTAATATTGATTTTATTCAACTTATCGAGTATTTTTCAAGGGACCGGGAAAAAAATGTTCACTTTATCGAGAGATTCGTTAGACAAACTTTTACTCGGGTAAAACCCGGGCGAAGCCGGGTACGTCCGCTAGTAAATAAATAAATATATATGAGAGAGAGAGAGAGAGTAATAGTTACCCAGAAATTATTTGAAAAAAAAAAAGTAAAAATAAAATTCAGGTAAAAAGTTTTTTTGAATTTGAAAGTTTTCGAGAAAATATACTGTTCTTCAACGGGCTGATACTCTTTGTACAATGTACACGCCCGTACATGCCAATAACAAAAGTTTTCAATTATTTTGTATAAAAATTATTAAGAGATTGTACATAGAGTATCAGCCCGTTGAAGAACAGTATATTTGCTCGAGAACTTGCAAATTCAAAATTAAAAGAAACTTTTTACCTGAATTTTATTTTTCCTCTTTCAAAATATATATATGTTATATTTATTATAACATATATATACTTAAATCTTTAGGTAATAAAAATGCATATATTGTATTGGAATATTGGCAAATAAATTTATATAATTAAATGAATAGCATTTTTATATTTTAAAATCACAAAAAGTTTGGAGCGGGACGTTTCAAAAATCACTTTAATAGGTACCGCTCAACAAGAACAACCTATTTTATGATAATTGAAACAATGAATAATGTGTGAAGGTTATTCACATATTAAACAAAATGTTAACGCGGGATTCTATCCCGGTTCATGACTATCGGGAATCGAGGGTGTTACCCACTCGTCCGTATGTTTTTAAGCGGTACGTTTAACAAGAGTGACATCCACGGCACCAATTTATAATTGTAACGAATATTATTTTTATATTTTAAAAACACACAAAGTTTAGAACGGGACGTTTCACAAGAGTGTCATCCACGGCGCCAATTTATAATTGTAACAAATATTATTTTTATATTTTAAAAGCACACAAAGTTTAGAGCGGGACGTTTCACAAGAGTGACATCCACGGCGTCAATTTATAATTGCAACGAATATTATTTTTATATTTTAAAAGCACACAAAGTTTGGAGCGGCACGTTTCACAAGAGTGACATCCACGGCGTCAATTTATAATTGCAACGAATATTATTTTTATATTTTAAAAACACACAAAGTTTGGAGCGGGACGTTTCACAAGAGTGACATCCAAGACGCCAATTTATAATTGCAACAAATAGTATTTGAATAAAATATTTAATCGGGTAAACCCCGAGCGTTGCCCGGGTAATTCGGCTAGTATATTACAAAGGGGAGTATGGTAATCATTTACCACCAGAGGTAGTTAAAAATAAACTAAAATAATGCAGCCCAATACAAAACATCAAGGTAGTGCTAAAAAAAAGTCTTGCGACACTAATTTTTGAAAAATTCATGCAAAAGTCAACAACCTGTATACAGGGTTTCAGGCCCTCACCAATACAATGACGGTTTCGAATGAATAACATGTTAAAATAGAAGTTATGAAATCAGGTAAAATTTGACAAAACTGTTTGCAAAACATTAGTTCAGCACCTTCTTAACGTTCTATATTCGGATGATGAATCAAAATGCATTATTTTAATGCATTTTTAACGTAAGAGGACTATTTTTTAGTAAATATACGATTATAAATATTTTTTCACTCTTAGTAAATGGTTAAATAAGTAAATGAGAAAGTGAAAAGTGATAATATCCACAATATGGGGTCTACGGCAGTGTTGGGCAAATATTAATTAAAATGATTTATTAAAGATTAACAATCAATTGTTAATTGTATTTTTACAATTAACAATTAATTAATTGTTAATTGTATTCATACAATTAATTAATTGTTAATTGCACTTTTCTAATTAACAATTAATTAATTGTTAATTGCACTTTTCTAATTAATAATTAATTAATTGTTAATCGCACTTTTCTAATTAACAATTAATTACTTGTTAATTGCACTTCAATTTAATTGAAAAATAATTTTTAATGCCCAACACTGCATTTCAGTACCACTCTCTTCTCGAACATGCTGTCCGACAATTTGTGACTCTTTGGCAGATTTGTCATTGTCGCAAAAGAAAAAAGGCGTTCAACTGCAGCTGACGATGGTAAAGGTGTGTTGTATTTAATAAAAACACTTTTTATCTCAGGCAGTGTTGGGCAAATATTAATTAAAACTATTTTTTTAATGCCCAACACTGGTCACGCCACGGTCATGCCACATTGAAAAAAAAAAAACGGTTCTCATCCGATTACCAGAAGTTAAGCAATGTCATGCCCGGTCAGTATTTGGGAGGGTGATCACTCGTAAGCTAATTTCTTGCATGCAGAAGAAATGACTCGATATAAAATATGGTGATAATGGATATTAACAGTTTACCTCACCGAGGGAGGCTCCACCACCTTGGAAAGCCTACTTCAAGACAAGGAAAGGTTTTTCTTGAACATTTCTAAGTTCGACAGTGAAGTTCGTATAGAGGCACACTTTGGCAGAATGCCCAAGAAGTCGTCAGTCATACTACATCTGAAGACCCAATCCTGCAGGTAAGGAGGCTGCTAGATGATTGTGAATGCTTCCAGGATAAGAGGTCTGACATAGGCTCAAGACCAGTATTGGTGCGCCAGCGATAAGTCGACATACAGGGAATAGCAGGTAAATTTGGAATAACTTTGCCAAGTCATAAGACAAGTACTACTTTAGATTTTTAACAATTTCATTCCGTATAGCCATATATTCATGTAAAATGGAAAAGTACATGTGTGTGCAGTGTAATGATAAACCATAATCGAAAATTTGAAAATCGAGCAGCCATCAACGATGCTCTGTATGCCGGAAGGAGACTCGAATAGATAGTGGACGTTCTTAAGTAGCCCAAAACCACTGTTCATCGTGTCAAGAAGCAGTTTGATGAGGCTGACAGTGAAGAAAGAGCGAATGGCTGCAAGGAATAGCACTCACGTCGATTGGACAGGATAAGAAGCAAAGAATTTGTCAAAAATGTCAAGATCCTGAAAAGAGCATGAGGGCAATAGCCAAGGAAATGGATATTAGGTCTAAGACAATTGTCAGATCTATTCATGAGAACCTTAGTATCAAGTACTATGCCCTTTCGGAAAGGTCAGTTGCTGACTGAGAATATAAAGGATAACATAAAAGGAAAGGCTGTTGCCCTCCTTAACAACCTGAAACATAACTCTTTTGACATGCTGAGGTTCTTCTCTGATGAAAAGAACTTTTACGTGGACCAAAAGGTAAATCCTAGGGATGATCGCTGGATCTGTAAAGACTCATCAGAGGTACCTGTCGTGATGTACACGAAATTCCCTACCTCCGCGATGGTCCTTGGCGTTATGAGCAGTGAAAGTAAGATTATGTCTTCCTATTTCTTTAAAAAGGGTCTTAGGATGAACGCGGAAGCCTACATCAATGTCCTGGAATCCGTTGTGAAGCCTTGGATGGACATGGTGGCCGCAGAAAGGAAGTTTGTCTTCCAACAGGACTCAGCTCCAGCCCACAAGGGAAAAAAAGAAGACATAATCGTGGCTGACCCTTAACGTCCTCAGTTACTGGAGTCCTGATATTTGGTCCCCTGAAGCCCCAGACTGCAACCCCATCGACTACGATGTATGGGGCGTTGTTGAGAGAGATGTCAACAAAGCTCCCCTCAACACCATCCAGTCTGTCAAGAAAGTGGTCCTCACGGTGATGACCCAAATTGTCAAGTTCATCGTCGCCAAGGCCTGTACTTCATTCCGTACTCACATCAAGACTGCTGTAACTAATAATGGAAACTACATTAAATAAATCAAAACTATGTCCTTTTATATATTAGTGTTTCAATTTTCATGTTTTAATTTTTACTTGCAACAAATTTCAGTTAAAATCCATTGTGGTTATTCCCAATTTACCTTTTACACCCTGTATATACAGTAGAACATCTCTGTAAAAGTCAAAAGCTAGTTGCAAAGCCAAAGTTTCTTTTAGACATTTCTTAATGTCAAAGATGATCATTTTGATGATAAGAGAAAATTGTATTTTGTAAAAAGATGTTCTCTAGCGGGATGTCCCTTCATAAAGGATCTAATGTGATTATTTTTTATTGGAAAATATCTTATTCTCTTTGGTGATTAACTTGATTTTTAAGATAAATTAATTCATTTAAAATCATTTTTTATTTTAAAATGTTTGTAATTTAAATTTTTTATTTAGTGGAGAGAGATATTTATAACTCAGGGAGCGCAGAGCGCCAACTACCCGGGGAGTCCAGCTCACTAGTATGGACTAGTTTTGAGCGCTTCTACTCGCGTCCTGTTTTGATTGCTGAGTTGAACCAGTTGACCAGGAAGTTCTATGCTGAGGTTGAGTTTGGAAGACTGGACATAGATGTAGGATTGAGGTGGGTCAGTCCAAGCAGGATAGCTGTTTGTATCCTATGTTTCAGGAATGCTGGAAAGCTGAAGAGAAGATGATCAACTGTCTGTGGCTCTTCTGAACAGTGGATGCAGGTAGGGTCTGTTTCGGGATGCACACGTGGAATGTCTGCCAGTACATGGCCATGGCCCGTGAGGATGGTGGTGGGGGCCTCTCGATGGCGGATTTTTGGTAGAAATTTAAGGATATGGCTTGGAGTGGAAGCAATTCTCCTGAGAGATCTGGTCGAATGGTCTTGGGAATATAATACAGTCCATGATGATAGAGCAGCCTTACGTGTTAGGTTTCGAGCAGGAGTTCGAGGCAGGGTGCAGTATGAGTGTGGTAGGACAGAAGTAGCAGCAATTTTTGCTGCACTGTCTGCTAGTTCATTGCCATTGATCCCAGTGTGTCCGGGAACCCAGCCTGATTTAAGGAGCTCTGTTAAGGACTTTTATTATTTTTTCCACTAGCGATGAACATGTTGGTTCTGAGGATCAGATAGCTACTAAGGCGGATCTACAGTCCGAGGCAATGGTCACTGCTGTTTGAGTCCGCCATTTGAGCTGCCCAGAGAATTGCTAAGAGTTCAGCTTGAAAGGCAGTGCAGTCTGGATGAAGACGTAGGAGAACTGACTGATGTTCTTGGGAAGGGAATATGATCGCAGCTCCAACGGTTGACTCACTTTTTGATCCATCTGTAATAATTAGTGGCGTTGTTACCTCTTCTAGGTTCAAACTGAAGGAAAGGGGTCGTCTGAATGGGAGGTATGGCAGCGCAGCAGGTCCTGGCTTCAATTCATAGTTCCCCTCCTTGATCTCCTTTAGGAAAGCCAGCCGGGCCTGGATGATGATGTCAAGAGGGGGACTGCCTGTCAGGGATATGGCTGGTATAGTTGGCGTACAAGGCCCCCTCTCAATATATGCTTTGCAAACGTGTAGTGGAGGCTCCGGAACTGACGGGCACCCTCCTTGGAGGAATCGCGACGACCCCAGGCTGAAACTCCGTATAGAAGGGCCGGGATGACCACCGACCGAAGGATTTTGATGCCAGAAGCATAGGAATTCAGGGTCGGGGTTGGGGCGGATTCTTCGCCACTGGAAGAAACAGGCTTGCGTATTTCTGGGGTTCAGCTCGAGTCCGTTCTCGGTGCTCCATGAAGCGATTTGATCCAGAAATGTGTTAATACTTTGGTCGACAGTCAGCCCCGAATTTGAGTCAACAAGGTGAAGTCTGCATAAGCTACTAGTAAACTTTCTCTAATGGGAGGTATGATGAAGAGGATATTTTAGTATATATGTATATACCTACATATATATATTTATATATGTAGTCAAATATTTAGTATTCTTTCAAAATTCCTGAATGAAAATATTATATATAAGAGGTTTTAAATTTTATAATATATATGCTATCTCCCAGCTTTCTCCTGAGAAATAGGATGCAAACAGCTCTCATGCTTGGACTGACCCATCTCAATCCTAGATCTATGGCCAGACTCAGCATGGAACTTCCTGGTCAACTGGTTCAACTCAGCAATCAAAACAGGACGCGATTGGAAGCGTTTAGTACTAGTCCATACTAGTGAGCTGGACTCCCCAGGTAGTTGGTGTTCTGCGCTTCAGAAACCTGGGCTATATATAAATACAGTAGAATCTCCATGAGGGGACACTCGCGCTAAAGCACACTCTACAAAGGACATTGATTTTTTATTTTTCAAATATTGAACGCTTCACGATTTTACGTGTCATCCTTGCGCGCAGGGGAAATTCTAATATTCTCTGTATGGTTCCAATTTTAGTATATGTACCGCCAAACAAGCGTGTCCTTTATTGATTTATAAACCTGTTTATAGTCAAATCTTCGACAGTATGGAGATAGCTTAGATTCCTGGAAGGTCTGTTGTTTAGGATTTTTATATAAATATGTATATATAAATTAATGTATATATATTATTATTTTATAAAGCTAGAACAAATGTAAGAGAGTATGTTTGTATAAGTTATAACAAGTTAAGATATCTAAAATTTTAAGGTTTATTATAAAACTTGAAATTCATGGTAATTGGCAATATTATTTAACTTAATCATAATGAATATTCATTTTTATTATAAAATTCAATTTCAAAATATTTGACATTAAATATAATTTTATATCTGTAGTGACGTGTGTGTTGGGGTGACAAATGTATCTCTCCAGAAATCCGAGTCTTTAAAAATATTATTGCAAAGTAATGAATGACTAAGCAGATCACAATGATAAAGTAAAATATTATTTATTTCTGACGTCATCATAACTAGGTGACTAAAATTTAACTAGAAGATTATTTACAGCTAGAGAATATTGAACAACACAAAGTTAAATCCTTGGTAGTTAGCGATCTATAGATGCGCTTCAGGATCCTGGGATACCTATAGGTTACTACTTTACAAACCTATGAAACGATAAAGCACAATTTGAATTATCTTATATATATATAAAAATGAATGTTTGTTGGTTTGTATGTCCGGTATACAAATTCGCAGTAGTTCACTAATTCAAACCAAAATTTCCATACATAGGTAAAAAATAACGGGGATGACGATAGGCTATTTTAAAAAATATATATGTAGTATATTTTGAATTAGTTAGAACACAACCTATAATATTTATCATAACCCCATATCTATATGTATCGATCTTGTAACAAAATGACAAATAAAGCAAAGAGAGAGGTAGACCAAGCGAAGCCATAGACCAAACGTACAGGTATTATGATAATGAGTCACATCCGCCCAGGTGGCCGGCCAAGGTCGGACTATAGCAACCAAAACCAATCTTTCGAAACCAAAACCTGAGATGAAAGGCTAGACACCGAGGCGCGCCGTTACGCCTGAGCAAACAAACAGCTTGACCAGCAGCC